TGAATCCACCAGCTGCTCCTTGGAAACCCTATGGGGAAGTTCTACTCTGTCCTATCGGGTTGCTATGAGTCTAAATCAACCCAAGGGCAATGGTTGTTGTTGTTTGTTTAACCACAACAACTGCTTCACTGCCTCATCAAGTACATTAAGTAAAATTGGCTTTTTCTTGTCCTGCGTGTGCACAGCAGGGAGGAGTACAAAGACTCCTAGTACAGACTGGTGCCACTGCCTTCTTCCGTGCTAAGATGAGCAGGGTTACTTACCACTGCTTGTGCTCCATTGGTGCAAAAGAAAAAAGCAAATAATATCTTAGTAACATTATGAAAATAGTTTTGGTCTCTCAGACACCTTCAAAGAGTCTCAGTGACCTTCAGGATTTCACGGACTGCAATTTGAGAAATGCTACTCTGGACCAAATATGAGAAACTTAGATTTGCTCTGAGCTAGGGCCTACACTGGAAATCCTCGTGGCACAGTGGTTAAGAGCTACAGCTGCTAACCAGAAGATTGGCAGTTCACCAGGCGCTCCTTGGAAACCCTATGGGGAAGTTCTACTCTGTCCTATAGGGTCGTTATGAGTCAGAATTGACTTGATGGCAACGGGTTTGGTTTTTTTAAGGCCTAAATTAGATCAGCCTTGCAATTAGGGCAAGAATGATTGTTTGTTTGTTTTTTAACTGAAAGCAAATTTATAACCTGGCCTCTCCATTGCAATTTCTGTGTGTGTTTATTGATTTTAAAGTGAGTATTGTAGGACATTTGGACAAAACTGTAAAATAGAAGGACTTCAGAAAAGGAAAAAGAAAGAGAAAGAAAAAAAAAAGAAGAAGAAAACACAGTTACAGTCCGATAGCCCAGAGACAAACATCATCAGCATATGTGCTGGTGTATTTGCTTCTAACGCTTTCTCATACCGTCCATGTTCCCAAAGTGTTCTGTCTTCATGAATCTAGAAAGGAGGGCAAGGGCTAAAAGACACTTTGCTGGGTGGTTAGTTTTATTCTCTCTATGAGCTCACTGTCCATAAAAACAAGAGAGAGTTAAATTCAGGACTAAACCAGCATTTTAAAATGTAAATTTAATTAGTTCTGTAGCAATATTTAGAAAATACTTTTCTTTTCAATTTTTGCTACCTGCCACCTTAGTATGGGGAGCATGAGTATTACTGAATCCTTCTCTTTAAAGTCCTGGCTTTTAAAATGTGGGTAAGAAGATGGCAAGACTTTAACTTGTTTACTTTGGACATGTCATCAGGAAAGACCAATCACTAGAAAAGCACATCATGATTGGCAAGGTAGAGGGCCAACGAAAATGAAGGAAACCCTCAATGAGATACATTGACACAATAGCCCAAACAATGGACTCAAGCATACTAATGATCATGAAGATGGCGTATTGTTGTTAGATGCCATCAAGTAGGTTCTCACTCATAGTGACCCTATGTACGACAGAACAAAACACTGCTCGGTCCTGTGCCATCCTCACAATCATTGCTATGCTTGAACCCATTGTTGCAGCCACTGTGTCAATCCATTGCATTGATGGTCTTCCTCTTTTTCACTGACCCTCTACCAAGCATGGAAACCCTGGTGACGTAGTGGTTAAGAGCTACAGCTGCTAACCAAAAGTTGGCAGTTGGAATCCACCAGGTGCTCCTTGGAAACCCTATGGGACAGTTCTACTCTGTGCTATGGGGTTGCTATGAGTCGGCATCGACTTGATGGCAAATGGTTTGTTTTCTGTTTTTGTTTTTCTACCGAGCAGGGACTGGTCTCTCCTGATAACATGTCCAAAGTATGTGAGAGAAAGTCTCGCCATCCTCGCTTTTAAGGAGCATTCTGGCTGTACTTCTTCCAGGATAGACGTATTCGTTCTTCTGGCAGTCTGTGGTATATTCAGTATTCTTCGCCAACAACATAATTCACAGCCATCGGTTCTTCTTTGGTCTTCCTTATTTATTGTCCAGCTTCCACATGCATATGAGGCGATTGAAAACACCATGGCTTGGGTCAGGTGCACCTTAGTCCTTAAAATGACATCTTTGCTTTTAAACACTAAAGCAGTCTTTTGCAGCGGATTTGCCCAATGCTTTGCATCATTTGATTTCTTGACTGCTGCTTCCATGGGGGTTTATTGTGGATCCAAGTAAAATGAAATCCTTGACAATTTCAATCTTTTCTCCATTTATCATTATGTTGCTTATTGGTCCAGTTGTGAGGATTTTTGTTTTCTTTATGTTGAGGTATAATCCATACTGAAGGCTGGGGTCTTTGATCTTCATCAGTAAGTGCTTCAGGTTCTGTTCACTTTCAGCAAGCAAGGTTATGTCATCTGCATATCGCAGGTTGTTAATGAGTCTTCCTTCAATCCTGATGCCCCGTTCTTCTTCATATAGTCCAAATTCTCGGATTATTTGCTCAGCATACAGATTGAATAAGTATGGTGAAGGGATAAAACCCTGACGCACACCTTTCCTGACTTTAAACCACACAGTATCCCCTTGTTCTGTTCAAACGACTGCCTCTTGATCTATGTGCAGTTTCCTCACGAGCACAATCAAGTGTTCTGGAATTCCCAATCTTTGCAATGTTATCCATAATTTGTTATGATCCACACAGTCAAATGCATTTGCATAGTCAATATAAAACACAGGTAAACACCTTCTTGTTATTCTCTTCTTTCAGCCCTGATCCATCTGGCATTAGCAATGATATCCCTGGTTCCACGTCCTCTTCTGAATCTGGCTTGAATTTCTGGCAGATTTCTGTCAACGTACTGCTTTAACTGCTTTTGAATGATCTCCAGCAAAACTTTACTTGTGTGTGATATTGGTGATATTGTTTGATAACTTCCACATTCTGTTGGATCTCCTTTCTTTGGAATGAGTACAAATATGACTCTCTTCCAGTCGTTGGCCAGGTAGCTGTCTTCCAAATTTCTTGGCATGGTGAGTGCTTCCAATCCTGCATCCATTTGTTGAAACATCTCAATTGGTATTCCATTAATTCCTGAAGCCTTGTTTTCGCCAGTGCCTTCAGTGCAGCTTGGATCTCTTCCTTCAGTACCATCAGTTCTTAATCATATGCTACCTCCTAAAATGGTTGCAAATCAACCAATTCTTTTCGGTACAGTGACTCTGTGCATTTTTGGCCTAGGGCCCACCAATGTTTTGTTCTGATATAATAAGGTTTCCATGAGTTAGAGCCAACTAACAACAACATCAACGATGGTCTCACATGGGCAGTGGGAAGAGTACATGATGTAATCTCTACTAAGTGCCTAGCAAGGGGTTGGCATAGAATGGGAGCTCAACGCTTGGTAGTTCTCGTTTGATAAACACTAATGTTGATGATAATAATACCTCCTAGATACTTATCTGCTTTGTTATCTCATTTGGATCTCAAAAGATGATGAGAGTAAGAGGCTGGCTCAACTATCCCCACTTATCAGTCAAGGAAATGGAGGCTCATAAACCCCGAGTGACCCACCCACAGCTGCAAGGTGGACATAGGAGGGACCAGGATGCAGGACTCACAGGTGCCAGCTCTACCAGGAAGAGGGCCAGCTCCTTCTCTAGTGTTGCCACATCCTCTCCACACTGGTTCTGTTCTTGTTGTTGTTAACTGTTGTCCAGTTGATTCTGATGCATGTGTGCAGAGTAGAACTGCTCCACAGTGTTTTAAAGGCTGTGACCTTTCAGAAGCAGATTGCCAGGGCTGTCTTCTGAGGCATCTTTGGGTAGGTTCAAACTGTCAACCTTTCAGCCTGTAGTGAAGAATTTAACCATTTGCATCACCCAAGGACTTCTACACTCTTTCTACTGTTTACTTAATAGTTCTCCTTTAAAATGACTCTCATTTTTTTTCTACTTAAATAATCTTTTTTAAAGGAAAGTTTATATGGTTATGATACAAATAAAGCAAGCATTACTTGTCATAGAGAAAAAGTAACAATAAACTTGAATAGATAGTTGTTTAAATAAAGAACATTCTCCCTGCTCTGTATGACTTAAAACCAGCTGGTGACCGACCAGTGGCGTGCGGGCCCCCATGGGCTCCTGGTTCTGGGTGGGGCATCGAGGCTTTGAGGAGCTATAAGCTGACCCCTGAAACATCTGCAGCTGTGGCAACAGCTGAGGGCTTTTACAAACCAGACGCGCAACATGAAATGTGATGTCATTTAAGTTCTTGCAATCTAAATCCATCCATATCCAAGCCTTCAAGAAAGTCTTCTGCATACACAAATATTTATAAGTGTAAATTCAGGGGAGTCCCTGGGATCTATATCGGGGTGCTTCAGGTACACAGAATTGGGGTCAGCTGAGATGATTTCTATGTGGTTTCACGGAACTCAGAGCTCAGATAAAGAGGTGACCATGAGAACGAACCCAGGAGCCACAGGGAGGCCTCCGGGTAATTTGTGGAGCAGAAGTCTGAGTGGGCTCCTCCAGCCCTAAGTGGGAAAGGAGGACCTCACTGCTTAGGCTCCAGAGCTGTGTGTACGTGGACCCCCTGCCCCATGAGCCACTGGAGGACAAATATTGCACCTTCTTCAGGAGAAGCTGAGTGCCGACCAGGGCTGTCTATCACTGCTCACACATAATAACCGGTCCATAAATGTTAAAAGAATTTAATAAGCATTAAAGACCATGCTGCCTTACCCTGGAGAACATCTCCTGAGCCCCCAGCCAGTAAAAGAAAGGAGTGGAACTCACGACTTTGGGGAGCTCAATGAGGGTAGGAGCAAGGGGGCTGATTTTGATAGGAATAAGACAAAACTAGTGACAAAAAGAGCATTAACTCATGCTAGCCACCACCACTGGTGCCAGCAGCCTTACAAAGGACACTTCAGTCCCACAAGACAGTAAGCAGATGTGGTCCTCTTAATAAAACACCAATCTTTAAAACCCATCATCCTGGCCAAAAGCCGCGGCTCTCCCTAATAAACATGGAAGGCTGTGTGGTCAACTGGATTAATTAACACCCACAGGTTCCTGACCTTTTCCTTTTCCTGATCAGCTCCCCCAAGACAGATGACCTGCTCGCATGCCTTCTTCTATGATGTATGTGTGTCCTTCTCATGCAAAAGACGTGGGAACGGGGATCCAAGTCTCTGAATGGGCCTGTGTTCTGTTCCAGAAGAAAATAAATAAATGAAAACAAAGCCTGCCCTTCTTTGGCTCCCCCCATCGCACAACCAGACCCTTATAAGAAATTCAGCCTTTCTCCTGCAACCAAGGAAAACTTGTTTTCTTCTGCTAAACAGTGATGCTTCATTTTCTTTTTCTAAAGCAGTAACACCTTCCCCACTCAGGGAAATAGCAATTGTGGTTTTTTTGTCATACTTAGCTGGAGAAACTCATCATTTGAGCCAGGATCTTGACTACCGACTTGACACATCCATGCCTCTGTACACATGGCAGGAGCAGGCTGGCACTCCCAGATGGAGTGTTTCAAGATGCCCTGTTTGTGGGCAGGCAGGGGAATCACCAGGATGGGAAAGAGAAGCACATGGATTGCTCTGGTTCCCAGGACCCCCAAGTGATTTACTGCCTCCAGAGATACTTCCACATGTCATGGGCAATTACCGACAGCAGGCCTTGCCATGCCTTGGCCTGCTGCCTTCTAATTCATACTAAAATGTGAGTGGCCATCTCTAGCATAATGGAGAGTAGGGCAAGGAGGGCACATGCATTGAAGGAAGCACCCTGTTTTACTGTACTGGATTCCATCCATATTGCAATATCAGAGCCTGAGGCCCCAAAAGAAAAAAAAAATCATTTTTACCATTCAGAAGCGTAATAGGAAATGAAATATGAAAACGCATTAAATGAGCTCCAGAAACTGTGATAAAATATATTCTAGAAGTATTTGACCTACAGCAGCATAAACATTGCAATTGTTTGTAACCAAGGTAGAAAATAAAAACAGAAAAATACATGAGCACCATTTTGTGGAAAATCCCTACCCTAAACTTGGGTCAGCACAGGGAAGTAGTCAAGACTGTAAGTGCAAAACATTAACTTTTCTGCCTTTGTTTCCTCATCTGTAAAATGGGTATAATAATAGCATATACCTCACAGAGTTTTGTGAGGATTAATGGAGATAATACTTAAATAGAATACTGCTTGGCTCCTATTACACGTTCAAGAACCATTAGCTATTCCTATTATTGCACCTTGTACTTCTGTGAAATAAATGCTTTATAGCTGGGACCAAACTTGCAAAATAGAGAAAGTTCACCTACGATGCCCTTGCCCAGCTCCCCTCTCCTATTCTACCTGCTCACCCTGAGTGGGGGGTCTTCACTAGCCTCCTCTCTGGAAAGGTGGATGAGGCAATGGAGGGGAACTGGGAGGCTTAGGCATAGCCCCTGCCTCCTCTCCCTTCTAACCTGAGAGTTCAGAAAATGGCTTGACCCCCCGAGCATTAGCTTCCTCATCTGCTCTGCCTATTACCTGTTAACAGGTGTATATAAATGAGTGGTTCTTGAAACCTGATGTCTAAAATGTCCAATTTCAGATAAGAAGACTGAGGCACAGATTCTAAGAAACTGCCAGAGACCACACAGCCATTCATTCCCAGGCATCGTGGCTCTGGAGTCAGGCTCTTCACTATACTTCCTTTCTAATGATAGAGGGTTTGGGAAAAACCAAAAGGAGGGAAAGTTCTAAAGGCTTTCTCTTCCAGATGAGCAGTGCCCTGAGGAACCTGACTGCAACCGGGGTGGAGCCCAGCAGGGCTAGGCCAAGGGGATTGGGAGGGCCCACCGTCCCCTCAGATGCCAAGGTCATCTCCACTTCTCTGTGACTTGGTTATTGAGACACTTCACACACCAACAACACACAGCAACATGGGTGATCTCACAGACATTAGGTAGAGAGAAAGACAATAGATGCAAAGAATGTCGAATAAGTCCATCAAAGTTCCCCCCCAAAAAATCCCAAAACCCGTTGCCATTGATTCAATTCCGACTCAAAGCAACCTTATAGGACAAAGTAGAACTGCCCAATAGGGTTTCCAAGGAGCACCTGGTGGATTCAAACTGCTGACGTTTTGGTTAGCAGCCGTAGCTCTTAACCACTACGCCACCAGGGTTTCCAAAGTACACACAGGCAAAACAAATCCACAGTGTCATGCTCAGGACAAGGAATATCCTCAGAGGTGCTGCCTGGGGAGAGCAGGAAGAGCTTTCTGCGTGTTCTATTTCTTAATCTGGGTGCTAGCTACACACGTGTGTTTGCTTTTTGAGCTGTGTCATTACAATCTGTGCCCTTTTCAGCATGTATATTACACTTGAAAACATTTCTTTGAAAAAAGGGAGTTAAAACTTCCTCCAGGCAGATGCTGAAATTCAGAGGTGCCCGCCGCCTTTTGCACCTTCGTCTTCTGGGACAATGCATCAGTCCCAAATCTAAGTCCTTAAAAAGATAAAGACAACAAAAGTTTTCTTCCTTGGTTTTCACGTGATGCAAACAACATGCCTCCTTAAAAGATGGACAGACAAGTTTCCAAACACAGACGCACTGTTGGGGTCAGCGATGTGCATATAAAATACTGCATAGCACAAACTACCTACCCATCTCAATTGTGCATTCAGTCCTTGTTTGTGTGATTGTTTTATCCATCTGTAAGCTTGGTGAAGCTGAGACTGAGTCTGGAGTGTGCAGTACTGGGACAGTGTAAGTGTTCTAGAAATACAGAAAGAAAGAATGAATATTAGTTTTTATGGCACCTGAGCTTCTACCCGCCACTACCTTGTCTTCTTGCCATCTCTTTCTCTTCCTCTCCCTTTTCCTTGCTCCCTAGTGCATACTAGCTCTCTCTTTCTTACACACACACTGGAACAGAGGGAGCCCCACCAGCAGCCTCAGACCACATACAGTCTTCTGGTTTCTGCCAGACACACGAAGGGACTCTGTGTCTCTGCTCTCCAGATGCTCTGGCAGTAAGAACTGCCGGCGAGTCCCAGTGGAGGGAGGGGGCCCAGCCCCCAGTAGACAACCCTTCAAGCCCTTATAGGTGGCCAGACCCTCAGGCACAGCTGGCCCAGACCTCCCAATCCAGTGGCCATGGCCCTCTAAGGCTTCCTGAAGCCCCAGGGGGTCCAGTGACGGCAGCAGTGCTTACTGAGTTCTTTATGTAGAAGCTCAGATTTCCTCCCCCATAGACTGCAATTTTTGCCAAAGTTGTCTACAGCTCTAGATTTCACCATCAGATTGGCAGTTTGTCTCCACATCTCATCTGAAACCCACAGGGGCTGTGCTTAGCAAAGTGAATGGTAGTGATGTCACTTGCATTCATGTGGGTGGGTAACTGGGTGTCCCCCACATATGCCCTTGGCCTGGAACTCCTGCCTCATCCTCTTTACCCGCAGGTGCTTCAGATGCCTCTTTCATAGATGTGGCCTTCTGCTCCCTTCTCCACTAGCTCCTGCAAGGGGGGCACTTGGTCCCCGTTGGAGTGGGGCAAAGAAGCAGGGATTAGTCAACTTCTGGAACCACTAGGGTCAGAAACAGCCCCCCACCCCAGCCAGGACATCCACTCTTCTTCCTCTCCCCTTTGCAATTTGCCTGTTGCTTCCTGGACTCCAGGGCCCCTCTCGCCCCTTTCAGCACCACAGTGATTGGGTGCTCCACTGCGGGACGGCCAAGTTTATATGCTGTCAAGCCCTTTATATCCCCCATAACTCTGCCTCCCAAGCCGTCCTGTGCATGTGTTTAATTTTTACAATCAGGGAGATGAATGGGGAGAGTGACAGCCCAGACACCCTGGAGGGGTGGGCTCCGGCCTGCCTCAGCGGAACCTGTGCATGAATTCCATCAGTGACCTAAGGTTGTATTTTATGCATAATACCCCAGTGATTTTTAAATCTCTTTAACTTTTGATGACTGAGATAAATGAGGAGGAGGAGGAAGCCACTATTTGGGAAGAGATGCTGGGACGATGGGGTGGGAGTAAAGGCTACTTTATATTGCCACTTGGGTTTTGTTCCTTTCTTCCACTCATCTCCCTGACTGCTCACCTCCTCCATCATCCACCCAGTGGACAGAACAGTGGGAGTGCCAACTTCTTCAAGTCTTCATCTTTCCAAGATATACTCTGATGATGGTGATGATGATGGTCATAACAATGAAGAGAAGAATAAATGGAAAGAAAATATTAAGTGAGAATAAATGCATCTTTTAAAATGTTGTTTATGTTGATCATCACCCACAGTCTAATAAGAACAACCCCCTTGCTATGCAAATACTGCTCAAAGCAGAGTCCCCCAGATGCCACTTTCAACTGAGTGGCAGTCCAAGCCCATTCTACAAGGCAATTCCGTAGCTGTGGCGCAGTGTTTGAGAGCTTGGCTGCTAATCAATAAGTCAGCAGTTTGAATCAACCAGTTGCTCCTGGGAAACCCTATGGGGCAGTTCTACACTGTCATATAGGGTAGCAATGAGTTGGAATCAGCTCGGTGGCAACAGGTTTGGTTTTTTTTTTTTTTGTACACCAGAGCAATCTTCTAAAGCTACAAATCTGATCACGTCTCTCCTCTGCTTCAAACAATGTTTCTCTGCCACCCATTGTCCTTCACTTGGTCCCTGCTTACTCCCCACCCTCTAGTAAAACAGTAACAGTAATGGCAGCCAACACTCAATGACTAACTACTTTGTGTTACACACCAAGTTCGGTATTTTACAGGGCTTATCCCATTTTCTTCCCATAACAGCCCAATAAGGCAGGTACTTTTACTACACTAATTTCACAGAAGCATAGAGAGAAGTAGCTTACCTAAGGTCACACTGCTAGTAAGTCCTGTCTCCAGGAAGCCATCTCAGAGGTCTCACCTAAAAGCTGTATTGGGAGACCTATTGGAGGTGTCTTATGCAGCATTTCAGGCATATCTCTTATTGGGTTGTAGTTTTGAGTTTGCCTGTCCATTTCCTTCAACGTACCTGGATCACCATGGACACAGATACCCAGCCTGACTCACTGTCATGTCCCAGCACCTAGCATGACACATGGGAGCGTCCCAGTGAGTGCTATTGGGTGGGCCCATCTTAGACTTAAGCACCGTGACCCTCATTAGCTCAGACAGGCTCTGGAATGTCTCTCCTGGCCCTGTAAGCTGTTGGGCTGGGCCCTCTAGTCATGGAGGAAGGTCCTCAGAATGGGAATAGTCTTCTTTCTTCCACCTCCTCTCTCGTTCATGAGATCTCGTTCAGACACACAATCAGGGTGCTTATTACAGCAAGACATCCACTTAGGGATCAGGCACTCCAGTGGATTCCTCTAAAATTACTTTGTTTCAGAGGGTTAATAAAATTTAAAACTTAGGGCTACCAGGTTTAATTGCTGTATAAAATGATAAGCACTTCATTCTGATACAAGGTGGGAGGTAGGGGGATGCCACAATATCAACCAGCTTCTGTGGAAGACATAAAGAAAAGAGCAGACAGACCCAGAGCTGAAGCAGGATTGATAATAATCAATATCATCCAACTTAATTTAATTTATTTGCCTTGTACTGAATATGATCTTAATATACTAGGAGACATCAGCTTCTATTAGAGCCTTGGAAATCATCTTTGAAAAGAGGAGAAATGGTATCAAATGTATAATTTGGAAAACATTGTTTTCAACATCTTTCCACTTAATTTAGCATTTTGAGGAATTGAGGCTATATCTTGTAACTATCAAACTGAATTAATCACCTTGAGACCTGACAGAAGGTAACCGGAACTCTAATTTCAGGCTGCTTTTATTCTTGGAAGATGGCCTTTCAAGTTGGAATATGGGAATTAGTGCAAAAACCCTTCCACTACTCCACAAACTATCACACTGCTAATTTTCAATAGACTGGACCTGCGCTGACAAGATATGCTAGCCACTAACCACATGTGGCTACTGAACACTTGAAATGTGGCTGATCTGAATTGAGATGTAAAATATACATGGATTTAGAAGACTTAGTTCAAAAAATGTAAAATATCTCAATATTTTTTATATTGACTACATGTTGAAATTCTAAAAATGAAATGTGTATTTGTTGAATTACTAAAAATATATGATTAAAATTAATTCCACTTATTTCTTTTTACTTATTTATTGTAGCTACTTGAGAATTTAAAATTCTATATGAGGCTTACATTATATTTCTGTTGGACAATGCTGGTCTAGACAACTAAATACTATGGAGCAATTGAATGATGTTTGCCAAGAATTTTTAAATGACTTAGAGAAATATATGGAATATAATTTTAAGTGAAGAAAAAAAAGCATAGAGAGGAAAATTAAAATCATGTAAAATGTACATGTATGTTTACGTATGTACATAGAAAAAAGACAGAAAGGAAATACAGCTATAATAGTCATCTCAGAGCGATGGGATTGGAGTGATGATAACAGTCTCCTTTATACATTTCTAAATGTTCCTCAAAGAGATTTTATTATGTTTGTTGTCAAAGAAAAATAAGTGTTATTAAAAAAGGAAATTATTCACCACAATGATAAGTATTGTTATATGCAGCTGTGCATCTTGGCTGACATTGGCTAAAGTAAATAATTTACGAGTATATTTATCCCTTGTTTTGCCCTCAGTTACATCTTATCATGAAATACACCATTCCCAGTGAAGAACTCATTCTCATGAAAGTCCATTTTGTAGTTATAATCACAAAACATTTTCTTCAAATTAGTGTTCTAATCAGCAACTGGAGATGATCTGGTTAAAAAAAAAAGGGCGGTCACTATTTCAGTTGTTACATTGGAAGGAGAAAATCAGTTATCCAAGCTTGCTCATTCAGAATTCATTTCTAGTTGCTTGTTGCCTGAATAAAAGTAGAGAAAAAAGATTCCAGGGAAAATAACTTGTGAGCTCCCAACAGTTTGAGAAAAAATAAGGATTCTTTACCCTAAAGGTGTTGGTGACAGAATGACTCTGGCCTGATCACTTGCCAATTTTATTGACCCTCCTGGGGAGTCCTGTTGAATGGCCTCCACGTAGAAACTATGAACTCCTCCTGGGTGGCACAGGCCAGCTTACCCATCCACCCTCCCCACCAAACATTGATCCATCCATCCACCCATCCGTCCATCCGCCCATCCACCCATCCATCCATCTGTCTGTCTGTCCGTCCATCTATCCATCCACCCACCCATCCATCCATCCATTCATCCATCCTTCCATCCATCTAGCCACCATATTTTTACAGAGTGCTGACTTCGGCCAAGAACCATTCTAGGAGCTGAGAATACGGCAGCAAACAAAACAGAGAAATCCTTGCTCTCTGGGAGTCTATATTCTAGTAGAAGGAGTCATGCAACAAACAAGTTAAAATATTATCATGATAATTTCATAAAGTGAGCCCTCCAAGGAAATAAAAGAGAGCAATGTGAAAGAAAACAACAAGAAAGTGGCTGCTTTAAATAATCTCTTTCAGAAGGTAAAATTTGAACCAATGGCTGAATGACAAGAAGGTGACAGCTGTGGTTAAACCAGGGGAGGAGCATTCTGCCACAGAGAATAGCAGGTGTAAATATCCTGAAGTAGGCGGTCCTTTGGCCTGTTTGAGAAACAGGAAGGAGTCTAGTATGGCTGCAAAGGACAACCAATGAAACCAGAGAAGTGGATAGGGCCACTTCACAGAGGCCTCACAGGCTATAAGGAATTTGGATTTTATTCCAGTTTCAATGGGAAGGCATTGAAGAGGCTAGGAAGGGGCACTGATGTAGTCTGATTTCCGTATTTAAACACCACTCTGGCTGCTATGTGGGTAAGGAAGTCAGTGGGGTGGTGCAGAATGAAACAGGGAAACTGCAGGGGAGGCTACTAAAAGAGGATGGCAGCTTGGATGGCTCCTCATTCCAGAACAGTCACTTTTCTGGCTTCTACTCAGACCACACAGGGTCAGCTGTAACTCACCTAAAGAACAGCAGCGTTGGTACACGGCTGGATGGGTGAATTGCCCCAACCCTTCTAACCTGGTGGTGTGGGGAGAACATTCTTGAATGTGAGATCATCTGACTTAATCCTTAAAATATTTAGATGCCCCAAATCACACGCTCCACAAAAAGACCCCTTTGAGGTTCCCAGAGGTTCAATTCCATTTAGTTTCCCTGCTTTTCATTTACCTCGAGTGGTTCCAGCTGGAGGTGGAAACGGAGGTGTCAACACAGTCACATGAAGGCCTCCCAGAGACCAGGAAACAGGTCGTCGGTTGCAATCTCCCTAGAAAGGCTGATTCTGTCAGAGGTTTTCCAAACGCCAGATGGCTGGGCCATATCTGGGAGCAGGTTCTTGCTGGCAGTAACGAGCATCAGAATGCCCCGTGGTTGGACCGACCACTAGAGAGATGGTGAATTTCCCCAATTCTCGGAGGTCTGGGTACATTTCCTACAAGTATTAGACTATCCTTGGGTAAACTTGCCCTTTCAGGAATTTGCCCAAGCTAGTTATTTTTGATTAACTATCTTTCTGATTTTATCAACTGCTGTTACTTTTTTGGCTCCCACCCAGACCCATCTGGGTAGTAACATGGACCCAGTGATCCTGGCATCTGGAAGCATTTGTCTTAAAAGAGCCAATTCCTTCTTGATCTCGATTATCAGTTCAGATTCCAGCCAACAGACCAGATATTCTCTGGCACGACCCAGACCCACAGGATGTTGCCTGTAGTGAGGCATGAAGTGTCCCTACTGTGGGCCAATGTACTGGAGGCATCTGCAGACCTGCCCACGCCCCGGTCCTGGGAGAGGGGAGAATGGGCTGGTGCCAACACATCTAAAACCCTCGCAAATGCACACACGGGAGATCCACCAGAGTTAGTTTATGGGATGCAACCTCTGAAAGGAGTGTGGCTGGGGCAGAATCAACAACTGTTCCCTGGGCGCCTGCTATGTGCTCAGCTCAGCTCTGGGCTTTGTGAATCAGAGATAAGGAGGAGACAGCAGCCTGGTTCTCAGCTGAGAAGAATATGATGTCTAATTGAGAAAGCAGCTAGAGAACATAGAAGGTAGAGTGAATAGAAGATGAACGAGAGGATGCACTTATGGGACACCCTGGGCTCTGTCCCCTGATCTTGCATGAATACCTTCCCCTGTCTTGACTTTGCTTTTCCCTTTCTTACCATGGGAAAAACGGCTCACAGGAGTTCTAGAGCCCTCCTAGCTACAATGGAATTCCATCACACATAGGATGAGGGTCCAGACGCAGCATATGAGCAAAATCATGCTGCATCAAAATGTTCCTGAAAACCCTCTAAAGTGCACTGTGCATTCATCCTCTCTACAAGGCTTTGAATGTGTAATATGGAGAGGACAGATGAAGAACACATATGTAAAATATGAATGCATGATGCTATTTAAATTACTTCTTTTATTTTGCCAACCATATATATTTTAATTCATAAATACACATGTATTAAAGAAATGTGGCCAACTCCATATACAGCATTTCTACAAGTTGATCAGGCTCAAGTGGATCAGTGACCCAGTTTTGAGAAGAAGGCTGGAAATTTCTAGGAGAAAAGTATTTTGAACACTAACTTCGGAAACAAAGAACAGACACGTAGGTGCCCTGGCCGCTTCTCAGTAGGAAAGCCACAAAAATGCGGGAAGGGCCCAGAATTCCCAACCTCCACTGGTCCTTTGCCCACACACAGTGGAGGCCAGAAGCCCATGGAAGGAAGCAGAGGTCTTTGTTCTAATAAATCATTCTGCCCAGCCTCCAAGAGTTTAGCAGAAGGTGTGTCGACGGGCCTCCTTCTTCCTGAAATAGCTTTGGAGGTTTGGGATCCCTCTTTTGTGGTACATGCCTTATGACTACATAACTCTTGCTCCTGAGTCCTTGGCACCTGTCTCCCTGAAGGGTAGGTGGGCTGCGAGGATTCCTTCCCAGAAAACCTGCTCCTGAAAGTCAGAAACCTCTGGGAAGTTTATCATCCTGACCATCTCCTCCCAGACCCTACTTTAAGCCTTCCAGCCTCCCCCTTACTGCTTCACATCC